CGGCTGCAGTGATTACTGACTTGATTCTTGTAGAACTGGATGGTGGGCAACATTCTTTATTTTACAATCCCTTCCCTTTTAGTCTTAATTTTGACCAAGGTTTGGGAGGCATTATGTGACCAGTTTGTCCCATGGCAATAGGAATACTCATTCTCAGGTCAGGAAAGGATTTCGTTCACAGGTCACTCAATGTGCTATAGCTGGAGTAGGCCCTGTTAGCAGTTGCCAAAAGCCTCTGAACCACCTAGCTTGCTAGTCAGTTTTGGTCTAGGAAAAGGTAGTCCTTTTGTTACTTCTTCCCATACTAGAGTTACACTATTACAATCATTGATATATAGAACTATATTGATAGAACTATATATTTGATCAATCATTTCAAGGCACCTAATCATCATTAATTTTATCTGAGGCTCAGTCACACCTTTGGTAATGCAGGAAACAGTAATCTTGTAAAATAGAATATAAGAAACATAGATAGTAACATTAATAAGTAAGTATTTAAGTTCTTAAACTTCCATTAGGTGCCGCCCAGTATCTCCCCAGTCATCTGATCAGTCTGTTCTGCACCAATCACTGTCTTTAAGGAAAATGATATATTGGCTTTGTACATGAAGTTCACCAGAGATGTTTGCACGTACAAGGTGAGTGGTGGGTCATTGTGACCCCCTCACTGGATTGAGAAAGGAATGCTGTCTTCTAAGGAGTTACATGGTTGGCCCCAGAAGAAGAAAAATTGATCTTTATGATTAAGTAGGCCTTCCTGCCATTGGGGAGGTCTGGTTAATACATAAAGCAGATGCAAAATGCACACTAGAGGGGAGGGAGGAGGCCCAAACGGGCAGAGAAAAAAATTACGTTTAAATTTTTCTTGTCTTGCCTTAAAATGTGAATTTTTATTTTATTTTTAAAATTTATTTATTTATAAATTTATTTATTTTTGGCTGCTTTGGGTCTTCGTTGCTGTGTGTGGGCTTTCTCTAGTTGTGGCGAGCGGGGACTACTCTTCGTTGTGGTGTGCGGGCTTCTCATCGTGGTAACTTCTCTTGTTGCAGAGCATGGGCTCTAGGCGCATGGACTTCAGTAACTGTGGCACGTGGGCTCAGTAGTTGTGGCTCGTGGGCTCTAGAGCACAGGCTCAGTAGTTGTGGTGCATGGGCTTAGTAGCTCCGAGGCATGTGGGATCTTCCCGGACCAGGGCTTGAACCCATGTCTCCTGCATTGGCAGTGGGATTCTTAACCACTGCACCAACAGGGAAGTCCCTGAATTTTTATTTCATCACTTTGAATATTATTGTTTCTCAAGTGTCATTATGATTCAATATAAGCCTATTTCTGCTTCCTAAGTCAGTACTTTTTTGATAGTGAGAAAACTGAAATGATCAAGACTTACATTTTAATCTTGATTTCAGTACAGATTTGTTGCCACTGTGGATATAAACAAATGCATTCACTTTCCATCTTCTTAAGACTGGAGTTTGGTATCAAAGAATTTACAAAAGCCTTTACATTTTTGGATAAAATTGACTAAATGTTTAACTTTTGTTTGATATAAGTTCTACAGAATTTATCTGAAGTTGATAACACAAAAGAAACTATTATCTTCAACATTAACACATGTAAGAAAAAGTTATTCATATTATTAGCACCAAAATTTTTTACAGTAAGTAGATGTTTATATGCTACTACTATTAATAGCTTGCTTAAACCTGTTACACTGTTTTAGCACTAGTACATTGTGTATGTGCTTTTAAAAATTGCACAACATTGTAAATCAACTGTACTCCAATAAAAATTAATTTTAAAAAATTGCTTGTAAGTGCTATTGTTTGTCAATTCCTGTACCTCATCTGATGGCTGTCCTCCTCAGTTTCCTCCATTTTGAAGCCTCTTTATTTTATTTTACTTTTTATTTTTTTTTAACGTCTTTATTGGGGTATAATTGCTTTACAATGGTGTGTTAGTTTCTGCGTTATAACAAGTGAATCAGTTATACGTACACATATGTTCCCATATCTCTTCCCTCTTGCGTCTCCCTCCCTCCCACCCTCCCTATCCCACCCCTCCAGGCGGTCACAAAGCACCGAGCTAATATCCCTGTGCCATGCGGCTGCTTCCCACTAGCTATGTACCTTACGTTTGTTAGTGTATATATGTCCATGCCTCTCTCTCACCCTGTCACAGCTCACCCTTCCCTCTCTCCATATCCTCAAGTCCGTTCTCCCGTAGGTCTGTGTCTTTATTCCTGTCTTACCCCTAGGTTCTTCATGACATTTTTTTCCCTTAAATTCCATATGTATGTGTTAGCATACGGTATTTGTCTTTCTCTTTCTGACTTACTTCACTCTGTATGACAGACTCTAGGTCTATCCACCTCATTACAAATAGCTCAATTTCGTTTCTTTTTATGGCTGAGTAATATTCCATTGTATATATGTGCCACATCTTCTTTATCCATTCATCCGATGATGGGCACTTAGATTGTTTCCATCTCCGGGCTATTGTAAATAGAGCTGCAGTGAACATTTTGGTACATGACTCTTTTTGAATTTTGGTTTTTTCAGGGTATATGCCCAGTAGTGGGATTGCTGGGTCATATGGTAGTTCTATTTGTAGTTTTTTAAAGATTCTCCATACTGTTCTCCATAGTGGCTGTACCAATTCACATTCCCACCAGCAGTGCAAGAGTGTTCCCTTTTCTCCACACCCTCTCCAGCATTTATTGTTTCTAGATTTTTTGATGATGGCCATTCTGACTGGTGTGAGATGATATCTCATTGTAGTTTTGATTTGCATTTCCCTAATGATTAATGATGTTGAGCATTCTTTCATGTGTTTGTTGGCAGTCTGTATATCTTCTTTGGAGAAATGCCTATTTAGGTCTTCTGCCCATTTTTGGATTGGGTTGTTTGTTTTTTTGTTATTGAGCTGCAGGAGCTGCTTGTAAATTTTAGAGATTAATCCTTTTTCAGTTGCTTCATTTGCAAATATTTTCTCCCATTCTGAGGGTTGTCTTTTGGTCTTGTTTCCTTTGCTGTGCAAAAGCTTTGAAGTTTCATTAGGTCCCATTTGTTTATTTTTATTTCCATTTCTCTAGGAGGTGGGTCAAAAAGGATCTTGCTGTGATTTATGTCATAGAGTGCTCTGCCTATGTTTTCCTCTAAGAGTGTGATAGTTTCTGGCCTTACATTTAGGTCTTTAATCCATTTTGAGCTTATTTTTGTGTATGGTGTTAGGGAGTGATCTAATCTCATACTTTAACATGTACCTGTCCAGTTTTCCCAGCACCACTTATTGAAGACGCTGTGTTTTCTCCACTGTACATTCCTGCCTCCTTTATCAAAGATAAGGTGACCATATGTGCGTGGGTTTATCTCTGGGCTTTCTATCCTGTTCCATTGATCTATCTTTCTGTTTTTGCGCCAGTACCATACTGTCTTGATTACTGTAGCTTTGTAGTATAGTCTGAAGTCAGGGAGCCTGATTCCTCCAGCTCCTTTTTTCATTCTCGAGATTGCTTTGGCTATTCAGGGTCTTTTGTGTTTCCATACAAATTGTGCAATTTTTTGTTCTAGTTCTGTGAAAAATGCCACTGGTAGTTTGATAGGGATTGCATTGAATCTGAGATTGCTTTGGGTAGTATCATCATTTTCACAATGTTGATTCTTCCAATCCAAGAACATGGTATATCTCTCCATCTATTTGTGTCATCTTTAATTTCTTTCATCAGTGTCTTATAATTTTCTGCATACAGGTCTTTTGTCTGCTTAGGTAGGTTTATTCCTAGATATTTTATTCTTTTTGTTGTAATGGTAAATGGGAGTGTTCCCTTAATGTCTGTTTCAGATTTTTCATCATTAGTGTATAGGAATGCAAGAGATTTCTGTGCATTAATTTTGTATCCTGCAACTTTACCAAATTCACTGATTAACTGTAGTAGTTTTCTGGTAGCATCTTTAGGATTCTCTATGTATAGTATCATGTCATCTGCAAACAGTGACAGCTTTACTTCTTCTTTTCCGATTTGGATTCCTTTTATTTCCTTTTCTTCTCTGTTTGCTGTGGCTAAAACTTCCAAAACTATATTGAATAAGAGTGGTGAGAGTGAACATAGATGCAAAAATCCTCAACAAAATACTAGCAAACAGAATCCAACAGCACATTAAAAGGATCATACACCATGATCAAGTGGGGTTTATTCCAGGAATGCAAGGATTCTTCAATATACGCAAATCAATCAGTGTGATAAACCATATTAACAAATTGAAGGAGAAAAACCATATGATCATCTCAATAGATGCAGAGAAAGCTTTTGACAAAATTCAACACCCATTTATGATAAAAACCCTGCAGAAAGTAGGCATAGAGGGAACTTTCCTCAACATAATAAAGGCCATATATGACAAACCCACAGCCAACATCATCCTCAATGGTGAAAAACTGAAGGCATTTCCACTAAGATCAGGAACAAGATAAGGTTGCCCACTCTCAAGCCTCTTTAAATGAATAACTGTGGTGATTCCTAGCATGGCTTTTCGGGAGAACCCAGCTGCAAGAAAATGCACATCATTGATAAGCATCTCCTCCCAATGAGTTTGTATGGCCTCTAATTCTTAAAAAGGAATCTATATATTTTGGCCCTTTCAGGAGTAAAGCCGATTGAGTTAAATTCCATTGAAGTTGGGTAGAAATTACTGCTGTCATCTGTGTAGATACCAAGTGAACATTTTAAAAGAGGGGGAAAATACTAAATAGAGAAGAAAAACAAAACAAAACAAAACCCGGACTATATATATTGTGTGGCTGAGTAATAGGAAAAAAATTCAAATGACCAAGAAAAGCTTCTGAATATCTTTCTCTTTGGATTGGAGAAGATGACTCCCCAGTTGTTGTATGGAATGTTATATTCAGAGAGAGGTAACTCTAAAGCTAAAGAAACTATCCTCCATGTCTTAAAAATTAATTCTGCATTTTCTTTGGTGGGTGTTGGGGATTGGTTTCAGGATATGACAGCACGTGAGTTGCTACAGCAGAGATACACGCTTCCAAATGGAGACACTGCCTGGCGGTCTTCACCCCTTGTAAATGCTGCTCTGGAAGGGAAGCTGGTCCTCTTGGATGGCATTCACAGAGTCAATGCTGGTACATTCGCTGTATTACAAAGGTCTGTATGAGTCACACACACACAAAAACACACCTCGTAAGCAGCAGACGTGGAACTTTCTCAATATTCTAATTTAACTGGGTTACATAGTCCCTGAGGAATTTATAATTCTATATCCAGGTAGAACAGCAGATATTTTTATTGTTTTAAGCACAGTAGAGTAAAACTTCAAATAATAAACATTTGGGGAAAAGCCACCACCGTAGCAAAATTCTGTGTGTAAGAGCTGAAAAAAGAAAACTTTTAAGTAGTAATTTTGAAACTTTATATAGGTTGATGGATATATGCAATGTCATACAGCTGAAGTTTCTGCAGTTTGTCAAAGCTTCACTGTTTACAAACTCCTTTTCAATCCTAAATCTAAATTATTGGTGATACCGTCAGCATTTTTCTTTTTTGAGAGAGTGAGTATAGTTCCTTATATAACGTGTAATAGCTCTTTGATTATATTTTCTATAGGCTAAAGTTCACTTTGTTTACAAACTTGAACATTTGTGTCACTGTTGTTTTCTTATTTCAGTTTAGGTGGGGCAAATATCCACACATTCCTAGTTAACTTCCCTTTAATGTTAAGACTTCATGTGTAACTTTCATGGAAACTATTCCCATCTTGTGTCACTTCGGGAGATTAGTGATACCATTTTTGTTTGTTTGTTACATCTTGATTCTATCACTTGTAGACATTGTTTTTAACTTTTAAATCTAAATTTTAACTTATTGGGAAATTTCAAATAAGTGAAATAATCTAGTTCCCCAACTAACCATTCAAAAGTTTTTTGTGCTTGACAAGATGCAAATAGTGAGTGTAATTAAGGATTCTAAGAACACTGCATTAATCTCGATTCAATCTGAGAGCACTTAAAAGTAATAACCACAAACTTCCAGTGATTTACCATAAACATTCTATAGATTTACAGTATTTTTCTCCTCTAAACAGGCATATACAAACACAAACAAAATAATACCTACTGCCTCCTTTTACTGGCTATCTCTTGCCTGTTAGGCCAAGTAGTGGTAATAGCAGCAGCAGCTACCATTAATTGAGTACTTTCTCTACACCAGGCATTGTGCTAAGCCAGTGTTTCTCAGATGCGCAACCGTGGAATCTCCTTGTGGGAATGAGGCTTAAAAATTACTGATGCCTGGGCTCCACCTCCTCAAATTCTGATGTAATTGATCCAGGATGAGGCCTGGACATTGGCATTTTTAACTGCGTTCCAGTAGATTCTAATCTGCAGCTAAGATCGAGAACAACTATGTTAAGCATGTGCCTTACATTAGCTGTTCAATTTTCACAGCAATACTGTGAGGTTGGTATTATTGCCCTAGTTTTATAAAAGATAAAATTTAAACAGGCGGGGGCTTCCCTTGTGGCACAGTGGTTGAGAGTCCGCCTGCTGATGCAGGGGACACGGGTTCGTGCCCTGGTCCGGGAAGATCCCACATGCTGCGGAGCCTGCGCGTCCGGAGCCTGTGCTCTGCAACGGGAGAGGCCACAACAGTGAGAGGCCCGCGTACCGCAAAAAAAAAAAAAATTTAAACAGGCGGATTAGTTCTTCCCCTTCCCAGTCCATTCAGCTAATAAGATACGGGGCTGGGACTTGAACCCAGGTCTGAGTGACTCCACTGCCCATGCTCTTAGCCTCTGCATTATGCAGTCTCTCCTCTTCTCAGTGCTCACCGAGCGGAGGTCTGTGGGGCGACTGTACCATGGGCATCAGGAAACTTTAGTGGTTGGTTTAAGACCTAGAACAGCAGGTTTCAACCTCTGCAACATCTGGAAGACAATGCTGTTTGTGCTGTGGATGGCTAGGTCCCATCATAGTTGGTATATGAAATAGCATTAGTTATTCCATTGTAAAGATTATAGATATTTTAAATCCTGTAATTGTAAAGATAGAAATATTTTGATAATACTACGCCTTAAAGAGTTATGTTAGACTCAAGTGAATATGTACCAGCTGCCTTGTTCATTAATATTTACCTCATGGTTATCCTGAGTCATTCAGCTGTTTCTCTTTTTGTTTTTTTAGTTGTTTTACAATGTTGTGTTAGTATTTTTATTTTTTAAACATCTTTATTAGAGTATAATTGCTTTACAATGGTGTGTTAGTTTCTGCTTTATAACAGAGTAAATCAGCCATAGATATACATATATCCCCACATCTCCTCCCTCTTGTGTCTCCCTCCCACCCTCCCTATCCCACCCCTCTAGGTGGACACAAAGCACCAAGCTGATCTCCTTGTGCTATGCGGCTGCTTCCCACTAGCTATCTATTTTACGTTTGGTAGTGTATATATGTCTAGGCCACTCTCTCACTTCATCCCAGCTTACCCCTCCCCCTCCCTGTGTCCTTGAGTCCATTCTCTACGTCTCCGTCTTTATTCCTGTCTTGACCTTAGGTTCTTCATAACGTTTTTTTTGTTGTTTTTTTAAGATTCCATATATATGTGTTAGCGTACACTATTTGTTTTTCTCTTTCTGAATTACTTCACTCTGTATGACAGTCTCTGGGTCCATCCACCTCACTACAAATAACTCAATTTCGTTTCCTTTTATGGCTGAGTAATATTCCATTGTATATATGTGCCACATCTTCTTTATCCATTCATCTGTCGATGGACACTTAGGCTGCTTCCATGCCCTGGCTATTGTAAACAGAGCTGCAGTGAACATTGTGGTACATGACTCTTTTTGGATTATAGTTTTCTCAGGGTATATGCCCAGTAGTGGGATTGCTGGGTCGTATGGTAGTTCTCTTCGCAGTTTTTTAAGGAACCTCCATAATGTTCTCCATAGTGGCTGTATCAATTTACATTCTCACCAACAGTGCAAGAGTGTTCCCTTTTCTCCACATCCTCTCCAGCATTTATTTTTTGTAGATTTTTTGATGATGGCCATTTGACTGGTGTGAGGTGATATCTCATTGTAGTTTTGTTTTGCATTTCTCTAATGATTAGTGATGTTGAGCATCCTTTCATGTGTTTGTATGACACATGAATCTGTATATCTTCTTTGGAGAAATGTCTATTTAGATCTTCTGCCCATTTTTGGATTGGGTTATTTGATTTTTTGATATTGAGCTGTATGAGCTGCTTGTAAATTTTGGAGATTAATCCTTTGTCAATTGCTTCATTTGCAAATATTTTCTCCCATTCTGAGGGTTGTCTTTTCGTCTTGGTTATGGTTTCCTTTGCTGTGCAAAAGTTTTTAAGTTTCATTAGGTCCCATTTGTTTACTTTTGTTTTTAGTTTCCATTTCTCTAGGAGGTGGGTCAAAAAGGATCTTGCTGTGATTTATGTCATATAGTGTTGTGCCTATGTTTTCCTCTATAAGGTTTATAGTGTCTGGACTTACATTTAGGTCTTTAATCCATTTTGAGTTTATTTTTGTGTATGGTGTTAGGGAGTGTTCTAATTTCATTCTTTTAAATGTAGCTGTCCAGTTTTTCCAGCACCACTTATTGAAGACGCTGTGTTTTCTCCATTGTATATTCTTACCTCCTTTATCAAAGATAAGATGACCATATGTGCGTGGGTTTATCTCTGGGCTTTCCATCCTGTTCCATTGACCTATATTTCTGTTTTTGTGCCAGTTCCATACTGTCTTGATTACTGTAGCTTTGTAGTATAGTCTGAAGTCCAGGAGCCTGATTCCTCCAGCTCTGTTTTTCTTTCTCAAGATTGCTTTGGCTATTTGGGGTCCTTTGTGTTTCCATGCAAATTGTTCAATTTTTTGTTCTAGTTCTGTGAAAAATGCCACTGGTAGTTTGATAGGGATTGCATTGAATCTGTAGACTGCTTTGGGTAGTATCGTCATTTTCACAATGTTTATTCTTCCAATCCAAGAACATGGTATATCTCTCCATGTGTTGGTATCAACTTTAATCTCTTTCATCAATATCTTGTAGTTTTCTGCGTACAGGTCTTTTGTCTCCTTAGGTAGGTTTATTCCTAGGTATTTTATTCTTTTTGTTGCAGTGGTAAATGGGAGTGTTTCCTTAATTTCTCTTTCAGATTTTTCATCATCAGTGTATAGGAATGCAAGATTTCTGTGCATTAATTTTGTATCCTGCTACTTTACCAATAAGCTGTTTCTTTTCATTTCCTTCCTTCTTCCCGTTTCTAGCTCCTCCTCCTCCTCCTCCCTATTCACATCTAGTAACCATGACTATTGTCCTCCAGTACAGAAACCAACAGTTTTTGCCAAGTATAACAGCACTAGCCAACTTAAAATTTCGAAAGGTGCATTTAACAAAATTGCTAGACTCAATTGCCAGTAATAATACATATGACTAAAATATTAACTGACTGATGCTACCTCTAATAACTTCAGTGTTCAAAACTGATTAATTTGTTTGCTGACCTTCCCCTATCCCATTAGATTGATCCATGACCGAGAGCTAAGCCTCTATGATGGCTCTAGGCTGCTGAGAGAAGACCGGTATATGCGTTTAAAGGAGGAGCTGCAAATGTCTGATGAGCAGCTACAGAAGAGGTAATTTGGGGTATAGTACTCTTATTCTTATTGTCAAGTGTACCTTTTTAAAAATTATTCTTCTAAACCTAGGGTGAATCCAAGATATCTTTGAACAGCTTAATAATTTGATGTCCTAGACAAGATCATGTTTTGGCACTTTTTAATGCTTGAGTTTGCTATCTGAGATGTACTCTGTACTTTCAGCCTTACTTTTACATAAGGGGTTAAACATTTTATAAGAGCATTAGTTGTAAGAAGATAATCCCTCTTCTGCTGTCCGGAGCAATTCAATTTTGGCCCCAAACTTTGTATCACTTCAGAAAAAACAAAAAGGGAGTCTCACAGTTAATTGGGCGTACCATCCTGGGAAGTGATCAATGATTTCTGGGGTTTGTCACCTGTTGCAAGATTACCCTTTGTGCCTTATTTTAACATTCCTTCCGGAGCTGTAACAACCAAATTCAATGTATGAGATTGGATTGGATCCTGGATCAGGAGATGAAATGAAAACAGCTGTAAAAGACATTTTAGGACAATTGAGAAAGCGTAAATGATATTGAATTAATATTAATTTTCTTAGGTACCATAATGGTACTGTGTTTATGAGGGGGTTGACCTAAAACAAATAGACTCAAATTGTTTCTCCAGCAAAAATGTGTTTATTCAAGATCAACAAAGAACTGCAGTTTAGGATCGCTAACCATGGCAAGCCACGTGCAAGTCCTTATGCAACAAGAAGAGGAGGAAGGACTCTTCTAAAAGGGAAAACGGAAGTCAGGAGAGCTATAGTGAACAAAGAATCCATTGGAGGAATTGAGAGTTCAAAGTGTAGTGGCTTTACATTGGCTGAGTCCTGCTAGTCTCTCATTGGCTGAGCTCTTGCCAGGCAAGAAAAGGAAGTTTTTCTTCTTCCTGTTGGGCTCTGCTATTGTCACAGGGCGTGGGAGCTCCCACTTCTGGCCTTCCGACTACTTAATTGAGGTTTCTGTCTATTGATTTTTTTGCAAGGAGAATATTTCTATTCCTAGGAGCTGTATGCTGAAATATTTAACGGATAAAATGAAAAGATTTCTACAACTTACTTCCAAATGTTTCAGGGAAAAAAAAGACATGATGAATGGTAACAAATACACACACCACAAAGAGCAAGGGAGAGTGAGAACACAAAGTGGTAAAATCTTAACAACTGGTGAAATCTAGGTGAAGGATATATGGGTGTTCATATTCTATTCTTTCAAATTTTCTATGGGTTTGAAAAATTTCAAATTAAGAAGTTAAAAAGAAAGTATTTCTTTGAGCTGCACACTATACTTTCCTTTAGAGGAGGTTTAGCAATTATAAGTAATTTTCTGTCTCATCACATTTCCATGGATATTTTCATGTAATTAGAGATTGTTACTTTGGGGAATTCCTATTTACTTAATTGAATCTTATTTGATTGTAGCTCCCCCTTCCCCAAAAGGGCTTGCTGCCATATTTAAAACAATAAAATCCTACAAATGATAATTACATATATTTCTTATTGTGATTATGTTTTAAGGAGAATTTTTAAAACTTTCCTTGGAATTTTTTTCTAGAGTGGAAATATTAAATCTTACTATCTCTGTATAAGTTATGTAAAAATTCACTTGATTACACAGCTATTTATGCTTCTGAGGTGCCTATCATCAGATTCCTCTACCCCAGTAGGTGGTTTGGTTGAGTGTTTAGGGAAGCAAATAATAAGGATTCCTCTCATATCATACCTGGGAATTACAACATTCAGCTACTGCACATTATTTACATCACGCATCAGGGAACAGTTGTATTTTCAAGGAGATGAATCGAAGTAATTGGGCACTAACTATCAGCAAGACTGCCCATTGGTTTCCCTTAGGGCTTAGGGAGCGGTGTCTTCTAACCAAATGTCCAGGAAATGATAACCGTTTCCTATGAAAAGAACCCAAGTTCTCCCTAATGGTCATAAGCAGTTTTACAAATGAAAACACTTTCAGGAACAAAGTGGCCCTTAGCTTCACGTTCAGGATTTGGCTCAGACTGGTTAGTAGTCCTTCCTTCTCGAAGTGGCCTGTCTTCATCGCTACTGATTCTCATCACTCCCATGAATAGAAACCCAGCTCAGTTCTGTCTCAGAAGTCACTCTGAATAGGTGGAGACAGATCAGAGTGCTGCTTAGTTTCCTTCGCTTATTTTTAAATTTTTATTTGAGTTTTTGTTTTTTTAAACACTTGTTAAATATGCCTGAAATTTGATCCAGATAGTTTTCAAGGCTTTTAATGAAAGATGCCAGTTCTCTGTTATCTGTCCTGGGACACTTTCCTGTTTCCTGTTCCTCAGAGGCTACCACTTTCAACTCTGAGCTGTTTCTTTTGATATTTACCTCCATATCACTAAACAATATACTTTCATTGACATTTTTTGATTCACTTTTCAGTGTCAGGCATTGTCTATTGATTTCCTACTATGGAAAATTACAGTTTAGCTCTCTTTCACCATTCCTCTGCCCACTACACATACATACTTCCTATCTCCCATTTTTCCTAAATATTAGGTAATCATTTTGTTTAGAACTTCATTCAGTATTTGCATTATTATCATGGCACAAGGACTGTACACAGCTGAACCATTCAGTAAACTACAGTTGTTTTTCTTTTCTTATATGCGTTTTGTTTTTCCTGAAGTTAGTAATTGCCTGCATATGAAGAGAGGTAGATATAGAAATAAACAATTAAAATGCAACCTTTAAATGTTACAATAGAGATCTCTACATAATGTTGTGGGAACACAGATGAGGAAGTGACCCGCTTTTCTTTTTTTCTTGTTACCTCACAGAGATTTATAGTGAAGCCAGGTCCTTTAAAAAGTTGGCAAATGTAAACAGGTAGTTTATACTTTATTTGAACCAAAAAAACAAGCTTTACAAATTGGCTTGAATTTTTATTTTTTTTTTACAGCTTTATTGGAGTATAATTGCTTTACAATGGTGTGTTAGTTTCTGCTTTAAACAAAGTGAATCAGTTATACATATACATATGTTCCCATATCTCTTCCCTCTTGCGTCTCCCTCCCTCCGACCCTCCCTATCCCATCCCTCTAGGTGGTCACAAAGCACCTAGCTGATCTCCCTGTGCTATGCGGGTGCTTCCCACTAGCTATCTATTTTACGTTTGGTAGTGTATATATGTCCATGCCACTCTCTCACTTTGTCACAGCTTACCCTTCCCCCTCCCCATATCCTCAAGTCCATTCTCTAGTAGATCTGTGTCTTTATTCCCGTCTTGCCCCTAGGTTCTTCATGACATTTTTTTTCCTTAAATTCCATATATATGTGGTAGCGAACGGTATTTGTCTTTCTCTTTCTGACTTACTTCACTCTGTATGACAGACTCTAGGTCCATCCACCTCACTACAAATAACTCAATTTCATTTCTTTTTATGGCTGAGTAATATTCCATTGTATATATGTGTCACATCTTCTTTATCCATTCATCCGATGATGGACACTTAGGTTGTTTCCAACTCCTGGCTATTGTAAATAGAGCTGCAATAAACATTTTGGTACATGACTCTTTTTGAATTATGGTTTTCTCAGGGTATATGCCCAGTAGTGGGATTGCTGGGTCATATTTGTAGTTTTTTAAGGAACCTCCATACTGTTCTCCATAGTGGCTGTACCAATTCACATTCTCATTCCCACCAGCAGTGCAAGAGTGTTCCCTTTTCTCCACACCCTCTCCAGCATTTATTGTTTCTAGATTTTTTGATGATGGCCATTCTGACTGGTGTGAGATGATATCTCATTGTAGTTTTGATTTGCATTTCTCTAATGATTAATGATGTTGAGCATTCTTTCATGTGTTTGTTGGCACTGTGTATATCTTCTTTGGGGAAATGTCTATTTAGGTCTTCTGCCCATTTTTGGATTGGGTTGTTTGTTTTTTTGTTATTGAGCTGCATGAGCTGCTTATAAATTTTGGAGATTAATCCTTTGTCAGTTGCTTCATTTGCAAATATTTTCTCCCATTCTGAGGGTTGTCTTTTGGTCTTGTTTATGGTTTCCTTTGCTGTGCAAAAGCTTTGAAGTTTCATTAGGTCCCATTTGTTTATTTTTGTTTTTATTTCCATTTCTCTAGGAGGTGTGTCAAAAAGGAATTTGCTGTGATTTATCTCATAGAGTGTTCTGCCTATGTTTTCCTCTAAGAGTTTGATAGTTTCTGGCCTTACATTTAGGTCTTTAATCCATTTTGAGCTTATTTTTGTGTATGGTGTTAGGGAGTGATCTAATCTCATACTTTTACATGTACCTGTCCAGTTTCCCAGCACCACTTATTGAAGAGGCTGTCCTTTCTCCACTGTACATTCCTGCCTTCTTTATCAAAGATAAAGTGACCATATGTGCGTGTGTTTATCTCTGGGCTTTCTACACTGTTCCATTGATCTATCTTCCTGTTTTTGTGCCAGTACCATACTGTCTTGATTACTGTAGCTTTGTAGTATAGTGTGAAGTCTGGGATCCTGATTCCTCCAGTTCCGTTTTTCGTTCTCAAGATTGCTTTGGCTATTCGGGGTCTTTTGTGTTTCCATACAAATTGTGCAATTTTTTGTTCTAGTTCTGTGAAAAATGCCACTGGTAGTTTGATAGGGATTGCATTGAATCTAGATTGCTTTTGGTAGTATCGTCATTTTCACAATGTTGATTCTTCCAATCCAAGAACATGGTATATCTCTCCATCTATTTGTATCATCTTTAATTTCTTTCATCAGTGTCTTATAATTTTCTGCATACATGTCTTTTGTCTCCTTAGGTAGGTTTATTCCTAGATATTTTATTCTTTTTGTTGCAATGGTAAGTGGGAGTGTTTTCTTGATTTCACTTTCATATTTTTCATCATTAGTGTATAGGAATGCCAGAGATTTCTGTCCATTTACTTTGTATCCTGCTACTTTACCAAATTCATTGATGAGCTCTGGTATTTTTCTGGTAGCATCTTTAGGATTCTTTGTGTATAGTATCATGT